CCCTGCTGTCCTCCGACCCACTCCTGCCCCTGTCCCCGCCCTTCCGCTGTCGTCTCCCGGGACCCTCGCCCGCTCCTCAGGTGACCAACGCCTCCGTGAGGGCGGAGAAAAGAGACGGAGATCTGCCCCAGTGCAAGCAGTTCATCAACGGCACGCGGTCGAGTGTGAAGGACTGTGATGCTGGTTATGAATACAACGTCACCGAAGGACTGACCAATAATATCGTCACAGAGGTGGGTCGACACTTTTAAATACATCCAGATATTTTCGATGTTTAAATGCTTTCTGCTACCAGTTTAATGTAAAGATATTTAGCAGAATGTTCACGCTACTTTTTTCTGTACAGTTAAAGCAGACGGGCACCAGGAATTGTTTTATTTTAGTTTATTTCTACTATGAAATCACTCATGGAAAACTTTTGTGTGATGCATTGGTATAAAATTCATGACCACAAACCTGATGTGATGCATCTTCAACTTTGAAATTTGGGGCTTTTTTTGGAACTTGAGAGCCTTTTTTGGAACAGTTTACAGTTTTTTTATAATTTTAATCTAATTTAACCTAATTCAATTTATTCTTATTTTTATTTTATTTTATTAGTGTCTATTTAATTTTAGTTCATTTTAGCCATTTGTTGTTTTTTCTTATCTATTTTTTTATGTTCCTTAGATTTACTTATTTTTTTTCATTTGCATTTTTAAAATGTTTAATTTTTTTATTCATTTTATTTCAGTTTTAGTCATTTTAGAACCTAAACGTAACAAAAAATTAGAAATGTTGTCTTTACAACTTACTGAAATAAAATAAGATTCCATTTATATATTAATTTCATTTAACGTTTATTTCAATTAACAATTGAACTTAACTTTTAATTTTAGTTTACAATAACACTATAGATTTGACATTTTGTGTGAACTAAATCTATAATAAGATGTCTATAACCAGGAAAGATGGTTATTCAGGTGCAGCTAGAGAATAATGCAATAATCATATAAAATGTTTGTCCTTTACAATCTTCATGTTCATGCACTTTTTCTGATAGTGTAATATTATCTTAGATTATTATGAATGTCACAGCATATTTCATTTGCTTCTGCAGTGTCACCGTATTGCCAAAAAAGCTCAATAATACAACATAATCACAGGCAATCAGATCCTTTTTGATGTTAAATATATAGTTACTTGTATGTGGAGTGTGATTTTGTACTAACGAGGTTTCAGTGACTGTCAGAATATCTTGTTGCTTATCATGGGTGGTTAATCTCAGATTTGCTTGAAATAGATTCGTGTTTTGTAGGGCTGCACAATGAATCGAATTTCTAATCGCGATTACAATTATGGATGCCACAATTACGTAATCGCTCAAAGCGGCAATTAATCGTTCAAAGTCCACTTATGTTATTCTGCTCGCGTAAAAAGATGCGTTTTTTTGTTTCTACATGTTATCTTAAGGGTTTTTCCATTGTTTTAGTTTTAGTATAACATAATACCATTCATATTTGTACTTTATTATAATTTAAAGAAGAAACCAATCCGATGTATATTTGACATTTGAGGCTTAATACTATAGAAAAGCACTAAAGGTTTTTCAGTTAGAGTGTTTTCAGCTTGTTTATTTTCATATAAAAATATGGCATGCAGTTGCATCAAACAATGGTATAAACATAATTCAATGTAAATTGTGATCATCGTAATTAATAATTGCAATTACAATTTCAAGGGAATAATTGACAACTATGATTTTTGTCATAATCGTGCAGCCCTAGTGTCTTGTTGCTTTATCATGTTCATCTGAGCGTGACGCGTGTCTGTCGAGGTCAGGTTTGATGTTCTGCATTCATCATTCCTCCCAGTGACCCACAAGTTTTACTCTGAACTTATAAATTGTAAGAACTGTAATTAATGCATGTGTACGTAATTACTCCCAGTGAAGTTTTTGTATTCAATGAAAGATGCAAAACTAAAGTTCGTTGATGCTGTTTGTGGTCGGTGTGGGCTGAAGACTAGTCGAGTGTACAGTAGAACTGGTTTGGTCACATTTCAGCTGACGAACTCTTTTGTGTTCTTGTGTCACGACGCAGCTGTTTGCTCACGTGACGTTTGACTCGTTCTGCTGCTGCTTACATGCTGAAGTTTAGAATCCATTTGTGATATTAACAGTTTTCTTTTAGTATTATTTATATAGTATTATAGTAATTATTTAATATTTTGAATTAACTTTTTTATTTATATTTATATTTTTAGTTTTAGATTAAAGTTTTAGTAACCTTATTATGTGCCTTTGTCATTTTTTTGTTTACATTTTATATATATCTTGAATTTATTTTTATTTTGGTTTTAGTACTTCAACTTAAATTTATTTCAATATAGAAGATTTTAATTTACTTTTAATTTTTTTGTTTTTAATTTAAGTTTTAGTAATTTTGTAATGTGCTTGTCATTTTGTAATTCTATATAGCTTTAATTTATTTTTATTTCAGTTTTAGAAATGTTAGATTAAAAACTTCTATCTGAAGTTTAAGTACTAATATAAAATTATACAACTTTTGAATTGTATATTTTGTTTTTAATTTAAGTTTTAGTTAATTTTATAATGTGCTTGTCATTTTTTTTAAAATTCTATATAGGTTTAATTGATTTTTTATTTCAGTTTTAGAAATGTTAGTACTTAAACTTCAGTTAGTTGCCAAGGCAACATTTCTAATTTTCATTTACGTTTTTAATCTAATATAAAATGTAAAAACTTTTGAGTTGCATATTTTGTTTTTAATTTAAGTTTTAGTTAATTTTGTAATGTGCATTTGTCATTTTTGTTTTTTATATATTTCTAAATAGAAATATATTTAAGTTTTAAAATTTAGTACTTCAAATTATTTCATTTTATTTTAAATATATTAATTTTATTTTATATATATTTTTTAGTGCCAATGGGACATTTATAGCTTTGGTTCAAGGTTAGGTTTTTAATCTATTATTTTATTTCAGATTTATTTTAATTAACAAAAACAATTTTAATAGTTTAGTACTAACGCTGGATATTAAAGCTCTGACGCATAACTTTTGTAATCTGACTGTTCGTGAATGTTCAGCATGACCAAACATGAAGTGAAACTTCACGGAAGAAAACACAAACTCACGAGTCTTCAGAGTTCATGGTGTTCTTTCTTACGAACAAGAAGTCTTTTTAAATCGCTTATTGAGTTCGCCGTTTTAAGCATGAAGTTACAGCTGTGTTTCTTTGCGTTTGGCTGTAGGTGTGGAACTGTGTGACCCGTCGCTGCGGCTGCCGGCGACGATGATGTCCGGTCTGACCGTGTTTGCGGGCGAGCTCCTGTTGCTGGCTGTGGCCCTCGGCTGCGGCTCCTGGAGGGGCCTGTTAGGAACCGGAGTAGCTCCTCTGTCCTTGTTCCTGTGCTACGGGTTAGTCCATGATGAATGCCACCTATTGATCAAGTGGTTTTTGGCTTACTATTACTATTAGGATTGCACTGGTTAGAAAATGAGGCAGGTAGTCAAGCCACCTTTGTTTCTATATAACGATTTATACAGTGATTAACAGGAAAATACAAATTTTTAAAAATGCACTTTTTTTTGCTAACTTTTAAAAATTGACCCTTTTAAACCAATGTGTACTTAATTATAATAAAAAAAAAAACTTTAAATAAGGCTACATACTAATGATTCACTGTAGGTATTTACTTAAAATTAATTGAGTTATTATGAAATGAATTATTTATGCTAATAAAATTATTTATCTATATATAGGTTTTTAAAAAAAAAAAAAAAAAAAAAAAAAGAAAAACAGTGTGTTTTTGTAATGGTACCAAAATTAGTGCTGAGAAGCGTGAAAATGTACATTCATGCATTTATATGCATTTGGCCGATGTTTTTATCCAAAGTGACTTCAATTGCATTCAAGGTTTACATTGTTTTTAATCAACATACGCATTTCCTGGGAAACGACCCCATGACCTTGGCATTGTTAGTGTCATGCTCTACTCTTTGAGCTACAGGAAATCACAAAACAATATTCAGATCATCACCCAAATCCAAACAAAACGTTTGCAAGGGATAAAAAACGCACGATATGTTAGATAGTTATAATGTAAGAACATAAGAAAGCACTGACCTGATAATAGAAGTGTTGATCCCTGAAATCAGTTCTGTGAGCTGCTCTCTGAAAAACACATTTACAGGTGGTTCATTTGTTGCATAGCGTAACAAAAACACGGTTTCCCGCAGGTCAGACCTCCAGTGCTGTGGATAAATATCTCTTCTGTTATTAACCTGGCTCAGCATCAACACTGTTGCATCTGGGAACAGGAAGCTTTTCAACACTTCATCAGCCTAAATGCAAAGCGGCTGCTCTTTCAGGAATATTGATCTGAAATTCCCTGTGAAGCTTCAGAGGTTTGAGTGCAGCCAGCGCACATTAGCGCTCGTTAGTAATGACGAATCACCTTCGTTTCTATACTACCAGACCGTCCCGCTAGTGCCACGGTGTCGCTTCATCCCAGTTGTGCTGTCTGTTGAGCAGATTATCTTATTACTGTATGAAGCTGCTCTTTTAGCTGCCGCTTGTTTGTCTTCAGGATCCCAGGAGTGTTTCCCGAATCGCCGCGCTGGCTTCTGCTCTCCGAGAGGACGGGAGACATTATGAAGCTGCTCTTTTAGCTGCCGCTTGTTTGTCTTCAGGATCCCGGGAGTGTTTCCCGAATCGCCGCGCTGGCTTCTGCTCTCCGAGAGGACGGGAGACATGAATTCCTTCAGCGAGCGGCAGAGAGATGACGACAGCTTCACGGGTCAGTTTAAAAATATCTTTTGCGCTGGAAAGTGTTTGCACATTCATTTTGGAAGGCAAACAGTTTCTGCCGGAGGTTTTCGTCTGATGTTAGTTCAGTTCTCAAGGAACAAACGGTGCGTTGTTGTGTCTAATGTGGCAGAGCTGGACACAGAATCGTCCTCGTCTCCTGGACGTCCTCACCTGTCCTTCCCAGAGCTGCTACACAGCAGAAACATCTGGAAAAACCTGTGTGTGCTGGGATTCACTTCGTAAGTCATTCCTACTGATAAACTTCTTGCCTGAGGTGCTGAAGTGGGCAAGTTTTGGATGCTGGAGTCAGACTGCTCTTGCAAAGTAACATCAAAATAGTCAGAATTAAAGTTTATTTATTTATTGTTCAGTTGATATTCGACAATTAAGCAAAATATGGATGACCAAAGCAAAAATAAATACATAATTTTTGCTTTATCTCCCCCTTTATTTATTATTATTTTTCTTTACTTTTGAATTGATTTTTTAAATAATGCATTCATTAATTTATATATTATTTATAGACCAATTTGGAGTAGACGTCACTTGCAGCTGCGCGCGCATAGTGGTGGCAGAAAAACACTGGGAATAAGTGGGAGAGAAACGGGTAAAATCCATGGAATAAGAGAAAAAATGTCTTGTGCCTTTGAATGTCAGAATCGGAATGCAAATAACTTTTATATAATACTGTCGTCAAAGACGCCATTTGAAGCTAAACGCAGACGTTTAAACGGACAGACTATGGATGAAACCTGCTGTGATTACCCTACTTTTAAAGCATAAATTTGATTTACACAATAATATTCATATAGGGGACATATTGTATTAGCCCTACAGTTGAAATACATGCATGAAATACTATTTAAACCTATAACATTTGCCTATTTTATCTCACAATATCTCACATTTTCTTGCAAATGCAAGTTTATATCTCCTAGTTCGGACTTTATAACTTTATTCAAGTCAACAATTGCGAGTTTGTCAATTCTGAGGAAAAAAAGCCAGAAGTGTGGGATTATAAACTAAAAAGAAAGAATGACGAGTTGATTATTCTTACCAGAATTGTGAGATATAATGTCGGAATTGCAAGAAAAAAGTCAGAATTTTGAAATATAAACTCAAAATTTAAATTTTTATTCTTTTATTCCATAGCTTGAATAGACTGCTACGTTAAAAACTGTCATTTTCTGCCACCCGATAGGCTCCGCCCACAAAAACGTCATCACTGTTTACGAACACTGAAATTGGTGTATACTCGCATGCATTTATTTCCTTATTTAAATATTGCCCCATTTATGTGTCTTGTATGATTATTAGGTGGACTGGTCTTGCTTTCCGTGGGTTTATCGTATCTTGAAGTGTATTCTTGTGTTCAGGTTCATCTCTCATGGCATCAGTCACTGCTACAGCTCCTTCAGAGGTGATGTCAGAGGATTCACCCCCAGCTTCTATTGGACGTACCTGCTGTCTGTATGTGCAGGGGGCGGGGCCTGGCTGTTGCTCTGGGCAACGGTGGACAGGTTTGGTCGTCGTGGAATTCTTCTTCTAGCCATGACCTTGACCGGACTGGCCTCCCTAATTCTGCTCGGACTCATGGACTGTAAGTGTTTTTTGCTTCGTTATTTCACCCTAAAATCAAAACAAAGATGAAAGGTGTTTTATTTTTTTTATTTCTATATAAATAATATATTTGTTTATATATTTAATTTTATAATTTAAAATGCTACATTACATTAAAATTATATATATTTTTTATATTAAAGAAAGTATTTTTGGGTTTTCAAAGCACTTTTCTCCTCAAATTTCACTACTGTAATGTAAAAAATAAACATAAATCCCATTCATTATCGTAACACGCTTACGAAAATCATCCTGGACACAATGATTTTTAATAATAATAAATAAATTTAAAACAACAAATACTTACTATCTCGTAGATGAATACTTACAATTCTACTTGTTGTGAAATTTTTTTTATAAATGCATTTAATAGTTCACAAGTCTAAAAAGAGATTTGCACACAGAATTATCTGGAAATTTACATTTATTCTTTTAGCAAACGCTTTTATCCGAAGCGACTTTAAATTTCAACAAGTGATCATATCATATATACCATAGCGCAAGGAGGCAATAACACGAAAAGTGCGAGCAATACAAAGTTTCAAGCATTGTCCAGTTAATTCTTTGAGGTATTTTGCTTTATAATGTCTAACGTTGAGATGAATGTGTCCCTGCAGATCTGAGTGAGTCAGCCATGACTGTGTTCTCTATAATGGGCCTGTTCTCGTCCCAAGCGGCCGCCTCTCTCTCTATTCTGTTCACCGCTGAAGTCATGCCCACCATCATCAGGTAAACACACGCTGCCGCGGGGCTGGTTACTAGCACACCCTCGTAACCTCACGCTTATTTTAGCTCCTGAAGCAGCAGAATGCATGTATGGACAATGAGACGGTCAAGAAAACAGCACGATCCCTACTGGACTCCAGAGAGCCGGTTAGGGATGTGATTTATGCATCTCTTCTGTGTGGTTCTGGCTTCCCTGGGAGGAAACGGAGCGAAGAGTTTGCATAAGTTTTTCTTGTCGTTCATTTATTAATAGTTTTCACATACTATAGCCGGTAGAGCATGCCGCTAACAAACGGCAAGGTCATGGCTTTGATTCCTAGGGGAATGTTTGGAGTAATAAAATGTAAATCCTAAATGCACTGGATAAAAGCATTTGCCAAATGCATAAATATAATGCATGTAATGTTGTTGCCAATGTTATAATATTTAATTGAAATGTTGGGAGATGCCACTCATGCTGCCTTCACATGCTATAACTGGAGATTTCCTACTTCTGAAGTTGTAATTACGAGTTTGTCATGTTCAAGTGCTTTGTTGTCCGAAAGAAATAGAAATCATGGAGGAAACCATGTCTGGCCCTGCTGGCGGTCCTCTCCATCCTGCTTCTCCCGGAGAGCAAACGCAAACCCCTTCCACAGACGCTGGCGGATGGAGAACAGTACCGCCGTCCTCCGCTGGGCCGAAGACGTAGGGATAACGTTCCTCTTCTGGCTACACCTAACCCAGAGACCTAGCCTTCACTCTGACCTCGGAGTCCCATCCTAATAATCCTGTATTTGTAGTCATTCCTAACACGTGTCAGTGGAGTCGTGGCACATGGACTCCATCATGAAGTGTGAGGGGTGAAGGGTACCGAACCGCGTCCAGAGTACGCAAACGCTTGTTAGCGCTCAGTGGCATAAACCATGAGACAAGGGTGTACACTTTGACTAAACATTGAAGTCTGACCCATGTAGCATTTGGTGACTTATTAGTAATATATTAGACCAATATGAGACAAGGGCTCAAAATGGCAATGATCGTTTTGAAATATATTTATCCCTGTGAAAACAGGCTTAAGTTCTCACTCCAGATGGAAGAAATGGAATTGGTTCTCTAACACGTTGCTGCTAAGAATGGCGCGCCCAGAGGATCGCTGAAGGACTGATCAGTGCTTCGGGCGAGAAACGTCAAGGATAATTTATGGGCACTCTGATTAGACTGAGGCATGATACCAGAAACACTTATTACTGTATGTTACACGTCACTCTTTGTTAAAGGAATATTATAGGAATGCAACTTGAGTTGTGTACTGTATGTGCAGAAGCTGGGACGTGTTGTCAATTACTCCATTTTATGTCTCTATTGCACAGCCAGGTGTTATTTTTTGTCGCAGATGAATTACAGAAGCGAATTACAAAAAATATATCCTCCATATTTCTGCTTTTAACTCCTCTAGTGCAACATCCATTCTTTACTGTGCACACTTATCCTGTTTTGTACAAACTAAGGGAGGCGGCAGAACAATTTTGTGGAATAATTTGACAGCTTAAGTTGCAATAAACCTGTAATATTCCTCTAATGAGGCAGACGGAAATAACACTGCTCGTAGCATCCCTTATTTCTCTGTTCCTTACCTTAAACATCGAGGATGACAAGTATGATAGCAGAGGGAAGGAACGCACAGGTTCATTTGAATGTTGACAGTCAGGATTTATTTGTGTCTGATGTCTTTCTATTTAGTCTTTGCCTATTGCATTTTCAGTCTGATTATGAAATAAGGAACATTGGAAACATGAGTTATGTAGCTTTCTCTTGTAAACGCGTCTTTGTGTTAGATTCTTTAAAATGCACTTAATAGTTCTGAATTGTTAGTAATAATTTGAATTATTATTATTACTACTACGTTAATAATAAAGGATAATAGTAATAAGTCTGATGATTGCACACTTACTAAACAATGCTGTAATTATTAATATTTAATCAAGTCTAATTACAAATAAAATCTGGTGAAATCACGTATGTTTGTCAAGTGATTAGAAGTGAATATGTGCTTTGAAAGTCTCAAGCCGAATGCATTCAGACTTTGGTGTTGTTGAATGTTCTGCTGTACCTCTGGTCCATCAATATTTTGCTGGTTTGCGTATTTTTAGCTCTTCAGTTTTTGTCGGTGAGCTCATTTCAGACGAGGCCAATGATTCACCATAAAAACACTCCGGACAGCAGCTCCTGATTCTGTAATGGTCGCAAAGGTCAGTTTGTTTATCCTGCAAAGCTTTACTATAGCGCCCCCTAATGTTTACACAAGCCGCTATTAAAAGTGTATCAACTATACAAAAACAAAATTCCTTATGCAGGGTTCCCACATTATC